TGCCCATTTGAACAGCTCTGGCCCCAGTGAATGGTCTCCTTCCTGGGTGATGTGGCTTGAGCTGCCACGGTAAGTCAAAGAACCCCTTCTGTGTCCTGTACAGAGAGAGGAGCAGGGCTATTTTTGGGCAGGAACACACAGGAACGGAGTTCCGGCTGGCTCCCAAGTTGGCCACGCCCAGCAGGGACTCATTAGCATAACAGGCCACACCCAACAGCAGGAACTCATTAGGATTGGCTACATTAGGGGTGTGTGGCCTAACATGCAAAGGAGTTCCTGCTACAAAAAAAGGCCCTGGGTTTTGACAACAGACAAGGTAAACAGAACAACAAGCAAAAGGTGGGTGTGGCTGGATGACCACACTTCTGGTAACATGGGGGTGCGGCCTAATGTGCTAATGAGCTGTGCTGTCAGGGGTGTGGCCCAATATGCTAATGAGTTCCTGCTGTTGGGTGTGGGCTATTATGCTAATGAGTTCCTGCTGGGCTTTTTCTACAAAAAGAGCCCTGGGAGGAAAGGTTTATGGTGCTTACCTGGCTCTTTTTCCCCAGGCTTGATTCATTGCACTGATAACTTAACTAGATTCAGAGTCAGATAATTTGATTTAAATTACCTCCTGCCTTCTTGTCACACATTCTCCATTTCATATTTTTTTTATACACACACATATATATGGAGAAAGGGCATATAGGTCTGCTTTTAGTGAAGGAAGGGGAGATGCTGAAGAGGCCCATTTTTGAGAATATGTCCAGTCCTCAAAGAATGAAGAGCAATTCTACATGCATGCAGAAACCTGCAGCACTTCATGCTGGGAGTAGGGATGTGCAAGCGGAAAAAAAATCATTCCCCCCCCCCCCAGATTCGGGTATATTGGACCCGAAAAGTATTGGTATTTCCTGATATTCCTGAATCCCAATACTGGTATGGTATTCATATTCAGTAATATTCAGAAATCCTGAATTTTTTCAGGGTCATTATACCCTATGGGACCATTAAAGTCAATGGCAAATCTATCCTGGGGTATATTAAGTGGTCGGGGGGGGGGTAGGTAGAGGCACCAAATTTGCAGTGTAGCTCCTGGAGGCTGTCCTCAAAAGAACTCCCAAGTTTCAAAAAGATTGGACCAGGGGGGTCCAATTCTATGGGCACCCAAAGAAGGTGCTCCCGCCCTCCATTGTTTCCAATCACGGGGAAAATACCAAGGCAAAACAAGCCCAGCAGAATGCTCCAGAGAATCTCTGCTGAAGAAAGTGAAGGGGGGGACATTTTTTCAAGGCCAGCAGCTGAACTAGTGCAATGTGCCCAGCAGAACCAGTGCTACCGTGACAGTGCCAAAACCCAACAGGACTGAAGTCAAATCTGAGAATCTCTGAAGTAGAAACTGAGGAGGGGCCTTTCTGCAAGGACAGCAGAACCAGTGCAATGTACTAGTGCCCAGCAGCAGAACTCAGTGCCAACCTACTAGTACCCAGCAGCAGAACCCAGTGCCAACTTACTAGTGCCCAGCAGCAGAACCCAGTGCCATTGTGGCAAATGCCAGCTCAACAGGACTGATGTCAAGCATAGAATCAGAATAGATTTTTTAAAAACCAAGCACAACCCCTCACAAGCCCCCCCCAAAAGAACAAAAAATGAAAAAATTAATCAAGTTTTAAACCAAAGCAGAAGGAAGGAACCCTTGGCCTCCCCCTCACAACCTACCATCAGGCCCAAACAACAACAAAACTCCACAAAAATAACTGCAAGCCACAAGACCAGAAGGAACTAAAACCTAAGAAAAGAATAAAAGGGAATTTAAAAAAGGCCTGAGGCCCTTGGCCTCATCCAACCCCCACACACCACCCACCAAGCCCAAAGAGCAACTAATAGTAGCATAAGAAAACTTTTTTAAAAATGTTGTTCGGTCAAACCAGTCACTGTCTACACTCTTCTCCAGGCAGGCAGGGTCTGATCCAAAGTCCACAGCAGAGTCTCTCAGGCAGCAGGAGTCAGGCTCAGAGCATTAGCTGAAGCCAAAGCCAGTGCATACTCTTCAAACCTCTCAGCAATGGAGTCTAGCTCAGCCAGACACTTGCTTGTATGCTCTTTGCCCATGCACAGAAGACTTTCAAAAAAAGAACTGCTGTGATTGGTTAAAGAGCAGTGTTCCCCCTATCTGAAATCCTATTTGCCAAATTGTCACTGCTTCTTATCCTCGCCCTCCTGTTCCCTGGGAAATGGGTGGGGAAAGCAAGGTTACTTAGTTGGGCTTCACATTTGAACCCAACAACCTTGCAAGCTGCAAAACTGCAATGCAAATGCCATTTACAAAAGCATTGCAATGATTGGCTCTAAGGCACTACAGCTCCCCCTAAGTTGCTTTTGCCACTGGACTGCAGGGATGCCTCTTCCCCCTCCCTCCTTGCCCTGGAAACCAGAGCAGAAGGCGGGAAAGAGCCCTAGAGAACTGAAAATTAACTTTGTATCTCTTTAAACCTCTCCACCACCAGCTATTCAGTATAGCCAACTATACCCGAAAAAAGCCAAAAAAATTGTTTTATTTGGGATCAGCTGTAGCGGTAGCCAGTCAGATTCTCTGATCTGTATTTGGCTTTAAAAATACCTGAAAAATACCAGTAAGGTACTTTTTGGGTATTTTTTTCTTGGATACAGCTGAATGCACATCCCTAGCTGGAAGGGTGACTCTCCTTGGACCACCCTGCATCCTCCCAAACCCCTGCAGCTTGTCAATTCCCCAGACACTGCTGCATTAGTTCTATGCACTTTAAAATGTTTGACTTTGCCCAGAGGTTCAGAAAGCGTGCGCATGCTCAAGGGGGAAGGTCTGCAAACTCCCTCCTCCTCAGTCTGCCCTGTAAAAAGAAAAAGAAAAAAAAGAGAAAATGTAATGGCCGGAAGCAGCTGTGTTGTAACTTTAGTGAAAATAATAAAAACCGCAGAGTGCGTAGTTTGTCACCCACTCACACAGGGCACTTTAATGTTTCCATGGGACATAAATCCTGCCTCATTGCAGTGTTCCTCTTAACTTGATGAGGTCTGGTCTGGTGTATGTAGAATTAAATCCATGCTCGGCCTGAGAACCTAGAAACCCATAAATAAGAGAAACTTGCATCCAAACAAGGGACTTCAGAATCCTCTTGAACAACTTTGCACACTCCCCCTTCTGTTCGACCTAGTTTTCGGATAAAATATTTTGATTTATCACCAAACCAGTTGGCTCTGTGTGTATGTGTGTGCATGCAAATTCATGTTCTGTTTGTGTTACATACATAATATATCATTAAAAGTATTCGGCTTGGGATTTCCAAGCTGCACGAGTTCCTCAAGCATTTATTGGGGAGTCCCCAGTAAGTAATGAAACAGGACTCGCCCGTCTCTACCAGGCATGTTCTTCAAAGAGCAGGGGAACATTTGGCATAGTCTCGGAGTCAAATTCACTTCCACTCCAAGCATTAGTGGGGCCCCTCAGACCTGGCCAGTGTACGGTTGCCCAATCTGGACTGGGAAATTCCTGGAGATTTTGGAGGTGAAGCCTGGGGGAGGCAGGGTTTGGAGAGGGGAAAGACCTCATCAGGGTTACAATTCCACAGAGTCTACCCTCCGAGTAAGGTTGCCAATAACCAGTAGGGCCGCCAGGTCTGTCGGAAATGCTGGCAGGGGGTGGGGGGACGTTCTGGGAGCCAGAAGCGTTGTTGTGCAACATGCCTACATCACCCGGAAGTGACGTAGGCACATTGGTGATGTTTGGGGTGATGCTCTGGTTTTTGGTCAAAACTCTATGGTAAAATCAACCTCAAACCATAGAGTCTTGCCCCCAAACTAGAGCGTCATCCCCCCAATGTCACCGATGTGCCTACATTACTTCTGGGTGATGCAAGTACATCACATTTATCTCCGGCAACGTAACTGTTTTTTGGGGGGAATTTCCTCCCTCTGCCCAGCTGGCTGGCAGCAGACAGGAGCCCACAAAACCAGGGGATCCCGCTCCCCAACTGGGGAATGGCAACCCTAACAACCAGGTGGGGCCTGGACATCTCCCAGAATTAGAACTGATTTCCAGACAACAGAGATCAGTTCCCTTGGAGAAAATGGCTACTTTGGAGGGTGGACTCTATGGCATTATAACCCACTGAGGTCCCTCTCCAGGCTCCACCCCCAAAATCTCCAGCTATTTCCCAACCCAGAGTTTGTACCCCTACCTCCAAGGCAGCCTTTTTCTCCAGATATTTGTAGTCTGGAGATCATACCATGATAATTCTAGGTCCCACCAGGAGCTTGGCAACCCTAGGCCAATACTCTGCCTTAAACCTTCCCCCCCCCCCCAATCCTTTTTTTTTAAATGGAGAGTTTTAGGGACAGACATTGCGGGTTCTATGCCAAACTGAACTGCAGTGTTATATGATGAGTGGCCTGCCTGAGACTTGTATCCTTGGGCCAGGAGGAAGCCAAGATCAGTGTGAAGATGTTTCTAGTTTAGACCTCCAGAACACAAGGCCCCCTTTTTGTAGATTGCAGCCCCCTCCCTGTCTATGTGCAGACCCTCGCAGAGATTCCTGTCGTCCCACTGACTTGCAAGACTTAAAAAGTCTTAAAAGTGGAAGCTGGCGGGAGTGTTGCCAGCCTGTGTTGGGTTGCCAACCTCCAGGTGGTGGCTGGAGATATCCTGGTATGACAACTGATCTCCAGATGACAGAGATCAGTTCGCCTGGAAAAAGAAATGCCTGCTTTGGAAGGTGGATTCTATGGCATTATACCCCACCTAGTTCCCTCCCCTCCTTACACCTGCCGTCCTCAAGCCCCACCACCAAACTCTCCATTTCTCAACCCGGAGCTGGCAACCCTAGGCCTGTGACAGCCGCACCTGAGCTTAATGGAGGGTGAATTGCTTAAATATGTGAAAGCTCAGGGGGGAATAAATAACAAAATGTAAAACACCATCGGTATTCCCAGTATCCCCGAATCCTAATACCGGTATGGTATTCGAATTTGGTACTATTCCCGAATTCCTGAATTTTTTCGAGTCAATTATACCCTATGGGGACCATTAATGTCAGCTTCCCTCAGTCCCC